TAACTAGCACCTGCCCTGCCTAGCTCACCACATCAGGGGCGTGTTCAAAGCCCCGAAACTTAGGATCTGTGACAGGGACTTAAGTATTCCAGCGGCTCTGCCGACTTCATCCAGGACACAATTCAGATTATAGATCACGGTGGATAGTTGCGCACTCTCTTCATACATCTCCGGAATCTCTATTTGCCAGCAATTCTCCATAAAAGCATCTCCGTCACCCGTGTCTTCACGCAACCATCAATCCCATCTCCGGTGTTTGAACCGGGGAGACCTGCACAGGTCTCCACGCAGACGGGCGTCTGTGGCTTGTGTGTGTCCGTTGTCGTTATGCCTCGCTGGCGGCGTTTGGGACGATGGACCGGGGTCGTCGATCGTCGTTGTGGAGCCGAAAACGTCCGCTTGATTTCGGAGTGCGGCTCGCCGCTCGGTGGTGCGAGCATGGTGGCCTTGACCGACCCTGCGGTCCGACCCTACATGTTTCACATCCACAGCCTGAGTTCGCAGTCTTTGAGTCCGAACGAGTGGTTTTCGGAATGTTCTCTACTCCGGGCCGGAACTGCACCTCTTTTGCCAACAAAGTATATTCAATATGGACGGATCACTGCTGACGTGCTGTCGGAAAAGAACAGTACGGACAAACCTGGCCAGGTTTGTGCGAACAGTGAAGCTCAGAAAATAAAGAACGTGGCAACCCTTTTGACCCCTACCAGGTGGTGAGTTGCAGGTTTGCAAAGGAACGGTGTGAACCCTGACTATCTGTGACTTATCTCCGTTTTGGGTTCGCCTAAGGGCTGGGCTGACTGATGTGTTTCCTCAAATCGATCCGAGTGCGCCCATTCACCCAGACCGCAAGCGCGCTCCGAAAATGGGTGTTTCGTTGGATTGCTTGTAGGAGATGGAGTTGCCTCAGTTAGACCAACGAAGGTCCCGAGGGATGTGACAGTAACTACCCCACATTTGACAGTCGCATTTGCTTGAGTCCAAGTCGCCTCGCCAGGTTTTTCGTGGCTTGGTCCTTCGTGAAGGCCAGCTGATGAGAGACCTCAGAGCACTTTGCAGTCCCAACTGCGAAACCCAAAGGGCTGCGGCTGCCAAGTCCTTGTTTGCACATGTATATTTTGAGTCTATTAGTATTTTCTGTGAGGCTTTCCCCCAAAGCTCGTCCTTGGGCAAAAAACACATTAAATGATCTAACATAATATGAACAGGCACACCGAAGGGAGGCTTCGGATGCTCGTGTCTCCCACATTCCCAGTCCTGTCTCTTTTGGTCCAAGTACTTAGACATCGGTTTTTAGATGTGAGGTCTGGAAGGCCTACACCTGCGAAGATCACCTGCGCGGACGCCCGAAACAGCTCGCTGTGCTTTTCAGAAATGCAAAGCGATTCTTCTGAAGGAGAGAGTGGTGGTTCTGCCAATTATATATCCAGCATGTGGGTTCATCTGAACGTGGAACATTCGGGTCAGGGTGACTAGGCATCACCAACAGAGAGGATGTGGGCGACTTGGCGGCTGGTGCCACTGACAAGGTGCTCAGTGCTGAGGTTGCTTGAGATGCTCTCACACCTGATTTGACAGAGGCAAACAGCCTATGTTGCAGGGGACCGAATCTGTACATCGTACTGACAATGTTCTGAGTAAAACATACAAGAAAACACGGAGAGAAAACAACCCCAGCGAGCGTTGCCAGGGTCTTCAGATGAGTTCCTGTGTGTGCGTGTCTCAAACAACCTGACGCAGGGGTCGTTCCTTCCTTGGTTCGCTTTCTTTTGGTTGTTCCGTCACGATCGTGCAAGCCGAAGAAAGAGTCACGTTCGTTCGTCACGATCTTTGTGTCAATTCGTCAAGTTTCGCCCCATCCTCGTAGCATTTGTCATAATAGCCTGTGTTTCTGCATGAACCTTCTACCTACACCTCCTTCAATTGGAAGAGACTCAAGTCGAAGAGACTTCACGATTTGGAGACGAAAAGAGGTGCCACGTATGTGCCTTTTTACGTAGGATGCCCCGTCGAGGGATGTGGGGTTTGCGTGGAGGTTGAAGCTGAGTCGAAGCTGAGTTGAGACGTGGGGAATTCAATCAAATTCGGGTGAAGCCCTCAACCAACTGGCTGGATTTTGGGGAATTTTCTTCAAATCTTGGTGCTCCAACGACTGGACTGCCATCAGCCTTGGGAGAATCAGTGGATTCCCAAGAACCGTCAGGGGATTGAGCCAGCACCGACTTGCCGACCCAATCTTTTTGCGCGTTGCAGCGCTGAGGTGGAATCTGACCACTGGATGTGTGACAGCTGAGGAATATGACATCATTCCTCGTTGGTCGGGCCAGCACAACATGGGGACTAGGTGACCCTCCCGTCGAAGTTTTCTCAGGCAAGGAGACCACAGCCCTTCGACTGTTTCTTTTTGTTCTCAAAACACGCTTCTATAGAGATTGTAAAACTAAAGTCGAAGAGGGGTCCAAGAGGGTCCACATTTTGCAGATGTCCAGGTTGAGCAGACAAACAGTTTTTTGACACGGTGGACAAATCTTTGCACAAAAATGATCACACAGCGTCGTAAAGCCAGGCCTTGGACCTATTCCAATCCTTCGGTAGCTTTGGAAGGGAGTACCGCTCAAACGATGAGAGCTCGACAAGGGAGAACAAGTCGACATCAGGCTGCCCAGCATGGGCACGCTGGTCTCACCGCCCAAAAGTGGCAACCTTGTGCCGTCGGAGAGGTGTTTGCCGAAGAAAGCTGCATATTTTACGATATTTTCATGTTCATGATTCGCTCAAACGCCTCGCTCATGTGTTTGACGGAGCTGCAAAGAAGCATCGAACGCAGATCGAACACCAACGACCCCCACGATGGGCACCAGAGGTTTTCACCGTAGTCCTTTCGGACAACTGCCCCAGTTGTTGGAACGTCAGGCAGCCTCGTGTCTCTTTATGAATTTTTCCGAGCTTTGTTTGTTACTGTAATGGCTCATGCAGGTGTGCGTGCTTTCAGATTGATCAAGTAAGATTGACCCAGTTAGATTGTGACAATGAGATCTTCAGAATCTGGGGATTCCGCCGCTGGCACAGATGTGAACGTTTTCAGGACTTTTCCCGAAGGGCTCCAAGGCGCATGTTCGCTTCGCACATATGTTGCACACAGCAAGGCAAACGCTGTTGTTCATAAATCATCAGGATTTGGAGCTCTTTGAGGGACTCGGGGACTACATGCATTCCAAAGAGAACTGTAGTCACGTTGCTCAAAGAAGCGCTTTGGATGATGCATCTGTTAGCGACGCGTAGGGCGATCCAACATTTTGGAGCCGATTCTGGGCTATTGTGTTGCTTTGTTCCCTTGATGATTGATGATGCTCTTGTGTATTATATGGATTATATGGGTTGAAGACCAGGGGCAGTATTGGGTCCTTTTCGTGATTGGTCCTCGGTCGAGAAAAGCATTGTCAGTTGGTTTTGACATCTGTAAGCAGGGCAAGACCCTCAATAGGAGGTTCCAAGGATGCTTAAGGTTGCTTGTTTGAAAGTTGCTGTGAACTTCCAGAAAAAACGACTTGCATCACCTCAATTTCCTGGAGACTTTTGCGAATTCTCACACGCATGAACACGCTGGGACCATGGGACATTATTGAACACCACCTACTGATTCCAAAACATACGCAAATTTAGGACATGCCACTCCGCCCATGTCAAGAATGTGCTTCCAATGTCTGCCGTCTGCCAAGACGGTCAGTCGACCGCTCTTCACTCGGCTTCGTAGCCACTTGAGAGACCGTGGACCGGTGTGACAGGTTTTGACCGGCGACGTGCTTTTTCCTGGCATCAACAGCGAATGGACTATGGAATTTGGCTATGCAAGAATGTTGGATGATGTTGGATGTGGTTTTGACATATTTTGACATGTCTTTTTGGATTTGTTGGTCGATTCACCAAAGCTCTCGTACTATTCTTCCAATCGCCCCTGCAAGCGTTTGCAGAGCTTCATCTTGCGCGGAAAGTAGAGTCTCGAAAACGCTGTGGAAAAGGTACCGTGGTCTGGGCAAGGTGAAGCCACTCGTGGTTGGCGGAGATTTTGTCGTGTATCCTCTTGCGAGCCTAATGAGGGCCTAATGGCCTAATGGTATGAACGTGGATCTGTGTTTGATTCGTGGCGAACCAAAAGCTTCCATAGTTGACTTCCTCATTGAGCAGACGTGGAACAGAGACAGAATAGGAATGGTCTAAGTTACGGTCTAAGTCTAGAGCAAAAGCGAGTGCCCTTTGCCCAGGACACCACAACAATGTCAACAGTCAACGATGAACATCCACCTCCAGAGTAAAATAGAAGACAAGCCATCACCGTGGACTGTCAGGCATTTGACACAAAGAATCCAGGCCCAAGAGTTCCGGACTTTCAACATCTGCCACAACATTGACAAACCGCAGGTAGACTTGACCCATAGCCCGGAACCTTCTAGATCAAGCGGTGGACACCTCCGGGCCTCCGCTTGGGCCGTGCGAGCTTTCTTTGTCAACGGTGTCAAGGGACCGGCCGGTGGCAGGTGGCCCAAACAGGGGGGTTACTGGGTACAGTGTTTCGGCCAAGTCGGTTTCGCCCCCGCGGGGGGATTTTGTGGGATCATTGGAGCTTTCCTCCAGAAGACGATCCTCACTGAAGGAGATTTCATGGAAGAGCATTGGTATGCTCAAGAAGGTTAAAACCAAATATGACATTTCAGACACTTTTATGATTTCCCAATTTTCACGCAGCCTACGGCAGGATCCTAGGAGCCCGAGCAATCGCCACATCGGACTGACCGTCAGAGTCATCACGCGAAGAAGTGCAAAGGCTCCATATTCGTGGCCAAAGAAGTGTAGGGTCTAAGTTCTCTTAAGGGCATTGGATCAAATTCACCTAGGAGCAAGGACGCTACTAGGGGCTCCTGGCATCGCTACTATAGGAACAAGAACGCTACTAGGGGCTCCTGGCCTTACTACTAGGAGCAAGGACGCCAAGAGAACACCTTCGCACATCTGAGTTTCTGCTTGCCAAAGCCGCTGGCATGGCTTGCCCTGATGAGCCGACGTCCTTTCTCGGTGGCTTGGCTCCGAGCTTCGCTTTCGGGAAGGCATTCAAGTGGTGTCACTTACGAAGGTCAACTGATTGGGCATGTTCACAACTGTTTGATGGCGCTTTGCCCAGCTGGACACAGTGTTCCTACTAGTTTAATAGTTGGCTTCATCAAGACAACCGGGGGGTTCCTTCAGCAGTCTGACGTGGTGACCAATTGGCGAAACTAGGTGATGGCAGTAAATGGCAATGGCCCTTTGGAGCTATTCCTTCAAAAACTGTGAATTGGTTTGGACTTCTGGAAAGCCTGGCAGGACTCTTCAACAAGTTGAGCTCCGTTGACAGAATCAGAAGCGCCAACCCCAAACCTGATCGAAAAATCCTTGGCCTCAGCGGCCTCATCCCTTCCAGGCGGTGGCCGAGCGCCTGCGGCGGCTCTTCCTAGTGACCTCGCCTGGACTGGAACGCAGCGCCTTGGTCAAGCGGAGGTGGAATGTTTTGCTGTGCTGAGGTTGCGAATCGAGCTTCCAACACTCCGAGACTCCGAGATGTCGAGCTATACAGAGCATGAGCCTTCCAAAGTCCAACTGCATCATGACAATCATGATACATCTACGGTGCTTATATACATGCAACCTTCGCAACAACTCGCGAAGAGGGTGGCTCCTGTTCGGACCTTTTTGATGTGGAATCCTGCCACAGTAGTAGACAACATGTGCGGAATGCCAGTGTGGTTGATTTGTAGCTGCTGATGGTTCCGCCCTTTTCGGACCAGTCACGGGGAACCGGGACAGGCCATAGTCTTCAAGGGACCTTTTGACCACGCCCTATGGCACCAATGCCACGCTGGGCTCCCGTCCGGAACACGTGAGGCCTGGAACGAGAGCTCCAAGTGCTACAGATCCCAGGGCATTTCGAGCCGTTGCCCGGAGGCAGACCGGGACGTTGCCCGGAGGTGGACGAAGACCGGAATTCAACGAACGAATTCTTGGTCCTTCTTTTGATTCCGCGGACTGCGTGCAGAAGGGAGTAGATGACCTATGACATCATCTCTTATCATCATTCATCGGAAGTGGCGAACTCGAACTCGTTGAACTAGTTGGGTCAAAGACCAGGATCTCACAGGTCCCTTTGTAGCCTAACAATAGAACATCCTTTAAAGGAGTAGTTACAGTGATGTACTGTCTTTTGGAAGCAATGCCGCAGCCCTAAAACAAGACGTAGCACAGTATGTCACATCAGCACCACCAGTTGGAACAACAGCCATGCACCTTTCTTCAACTCTGGACCAGGCGTGGCGGTGTCGGGCTACGACGAGACCCTTTGGCGCTGCTGTTTGCAGAGTCGACTCGCTGAGCTCGTCCTGGTCCGCGTGGGAGAGCCGTTCCACGCCCCGGACCTGCAGCTGGGAGGAAGTCGTCGAAATCGAAATCACCGCAGTCCAGAAGAAAGACACCCCACTTTGCTTCCAAACTTTGGATGGTTCTAGAGTTCTAGACTACACTTTAGATCCAAAGGTCGTCCAGGAAGCCTTTGGGTGTAGAGTTCGCAGTTTTGCCACGACAAAGCCTCTGACGTCATTCGCATTGTATGACAGCTCGTCATGCTAGCTGTTTTCGCAGTTGTTACTTACAAGGAAAAACACAACACAGTACTTTGACATGTATATTATATATATTAATATTATATAATGATATAAGCAATTGTGGACGGATTGGACCGACAACATTTTCTGGCCTTAGGGTACAGCACCACACCACTGTTGTTTGCCTTACGTGTGAACCGAAACCGGGCATTTCGACCATGGCTTAGATGCCGCATGGTGGAAAATCCCCGCGCGCACCGTAGCATGAAGACCTGACAGAGCTGTCCTGGACACTGAATGGCACTGAGCTAACATGTGCTCTCACACTCGAATTACATCGCACTCCAACGCACTGGACGTCCAATCACTCAAATTGTTGATTCAGGGATTCTCCCCAAGACCATCTTCACCAAAGCACATTGTGGGATGAACCAAAGGTTCCGAACAGCATGTAATAGGCTGGCCTGACATGATATTGCTTATTGTTCTGCTTATCTCATGAGGATGATGTGCTATGCTGCTATTGGAGCGTAACCCTTGGGAGGAGAACCATTTAATCGGGCACATCTGGGTAGTTTCACACTCCTAAAACAACATACACAATCGCCAAGGGGGTGACTCAGGATCCGCACCAACATCAAATGGGTATGTTCATCCCACATCCCAGAGCATTCCGTGCAACACCTGCCAATACAAGCTGATCAACCAATGAACCTTCATTTGACGCCAGGAGCTTTGAGACTGGAATAATTGGACACTGGATTCCTTTCGTGAAAACCATGGGGTTCTACGGTTCTAGAAACGGCATTGGCCCTGCGGTGATGAGCTGAACGGCCCTGTCACAGTTCTACTTCCATCAGCTGAGGCGCTCTTTGGATGAAGGTTTGCGAAGGCTTCCATGGCAAGACTTCCTTCAGGCCCTTTGCAATGGTAAGAGGGTGCTTTTTGCAATGGTAGGAGCTTGTTACTCCCAGAAGAGGACTTGGTACACCATAAAATCTGATGGATTCCTCCAGGGTTCCTACGTGCAGACATTCTCATAAGACAGTTTGTCCACTGGGGGTGGTGTTGCGCTTGGCCTGAGAAAAGCTGTCCCGGATACACTTGAAAAGAAAGAAACGCAAAGCAACCAGCTCTTGGACCAACTGCTCGAACACAGTCTCTGCGGCCTTCAGCATTGACATGGATACGACCGCCACGCCTCTGCACTAATTTTGAAGGCTGGCGGCTGGACGTCAAGACATTTTCTGTAGCCGCTACTGCCAAGCCAAAACTTAAGAATTCTGCGGAGCAGGAAGCTATCTGGAGACGAGAGCTTTCTGTTGCAACTTGCCATCGCCACAGATGTCCTTCAATGCCCGCATGTACCCGAAATCCGAAGGTTTTGGGCGGTCCAACTGCACATCTAAGCGCTGAGACCGTAGCTCAGACCGCCCGAAACCGCCCGAAACCTGGCTGTACCGGATCGATCGCCCAGATCGAAGCAGCTTGGACGCACACCGGCAACCCCAAAACCGCCCCACCTGGCAGTCCGATGATGGGCTCAGGTTTTTGAGGTCAGGGGGGTACCTAGAAATGGTAGGGGCGGGGTGTCAAGGAAGAACTGGTGGTAGGGTTGTGCAGAATGCGACAGTGAAACACACATTCCTCTGAAAACACACCCCAGATTTTTGAAGACAGCATGTCCTGTCTGTCTGCCACCATGCAAAAGGCAGAACAAGCAACGCTCCGAATCCCCAAAGGAATCTAAAGGATATTTTGGATGCATGTGATTGAAGTACTAGGAACAAGAAGCTAGGAGCAAAGGGCATCGCTACTAGGAGCAAGGACGCTACTAGGGGCTCCTGCCTTACTAGGAGCAAGGACGCTACTAGGATATTTTGGATGCACAGCTGCTGTTCAGCTCTGGACTTGCTTTACACGCCCTGCTTGCTGGCTGTCTTTCCCGCCAATGTCGTGTGGAGAGGCCTCCAGCAAACCGATCATCAAGGTCTCCAGTGAAGCTTGACCAAACGGACAGCACGGAAAGGAGGGAGTCGCATGTGAACCGCCTGTTAGCCCCAGCGGTTTGTTTTAAGGCTTGGGCCTTCCTTCGGTACTCAGCCCTCTTCATCAGGTTTCTCAGCACTAGGGGATTTCACATCCCAATCCAACTGTTGGCTTTTGGTACTTTAGGTGCTGCTGAAAGGGAGGTTTACTTTTCTGGTGCAGCCTTTCGCTTCACTGCAACTGGCTTTCTATGAGGTATGCTTAGGAACTCAGTTGAGTCCTGACTTCCCTTTCTGATGACGGGTTGCCATCGAGTAATTACTTGTTCAACACCCGCTGATAAGTGAGGTGAGGTAGCAAGCGATCCCTTGGTTCAAGTTGAAGACATGTTCTTTTTCCCGAATGCGTAGCGAAGGGTTCCCGTTTATAGTTGGGGGTCTGGGGGTTGGATCTGTGTTTGCATGGCTTGCGTCGTGTCGTCGTCTCTCGTCGTCTCTCGTCGTCTCTCGTCGTTTGTCGTCGTTGTCGCGTCTCAAATTTGCTGCCATTGGGGGAAGCTTTTGCAAGTGACTTTGCATGGATGCGTCATATGTTAGTTTGCGCCGCTATTCCATTGTCATTTGCATGACAATGACATGTCGCGCAAGAAACGTGATGCATTTCGCTGCACAGGCTCAGCGTTTTGTGAGATCTGCAGTGTGCTGCGCAGTTCCATTGGGATTAGCGTTTGGAGAGTCGTGTTTTTGGGGTGTTGGATGTGGCCGTGCCATTGGGATTTGCGTTTCAGGGTGTGGCATCGAAGCTCGGTTTTCGTGACAAGTCTCAGCTGAAATGGCGATTTTGGTGGATGGCAGTGTGCCCAGAACGGATCGAAATCATTCCAAACGTGTGGTGTGGTGCAAATTTTGTTGAAGCTCACATGAGATGATATTGTCACTTTTCGTGGCAGGCGCAGGACTTTGTGCGGGTTTTGAGGCGTGGAAGTGCGATTCTCGTGGCAGGCGCAGGGAATCGTGAGGTTGCGAGGTGTGACGGAGGTGACATTTCGTGGCAGGCGCAGTACTTTGTGCGTGTTAGACGTGTGGACGCGGAAAGATTCGTGGCAGGGGCAGGGAATCGTGAGGTTGTGAGTTGTGGTAGAGGTGAATGTCGCTGTCACATTGGGATTGGCGTGTGAGCGGATGTTGTTTGGAGGGGCTGGCATCGCGAAACTGCTTGGCAGGGCTGCGTGATGTGTGTGCTCCGATGGGTGTTTCCGCTTGACTTTTGGAGGAAGTCTCGTACGAAACGCTCGTTTTGCAGACTTTGACGTGTGAGTTATTGAGGAAGTCTCGTACGAAACGCTCGTTTTGGAGACTTGACGCGCAACCCTCTGCGGAGATCATGCGTGTCGAGTGTGCGAAATGCAGGCGAGAGTGCGATTTGTCCCATGCGCGCGCAACCCTCTGCGGAGATCGTGCGTGTCGAGTGCGCGAAATGCACGAGGAGTGCGATTTGTCCCATGCGCGCGCAACCCTCTGCGGAGATCCTGCGTGTCGAGTGCGCGAAATGCAGGCGAGGGTGCGATTTGTCCGGTGCCCACACCACCCTTTGCGGAGATCGTGCGTGTCGAGTGCGCGAAATGCAGGCGAGAGTGCGATTTGTCCGGTACCCGCGCAACCCTCTGCGGAGATCATGCGTGTCGAGCGCGCGAAATGCAGGCGAGCACTAGCGACTTTGTAGTACAACTTTAGTACGCGGAGTATCTGGGGAGCTGGAACAAGAGTGTCCCACAAGAGTGTCCCGCAACAGTGTCCCACTAGAGTGTCTCACAAGAGTGCCCCTTAAGAGTGTCCTACAGGAGTATCCCACAAGAGTGTCCTACAAGAGTCTCCCACAAGAGTGTCCCACAAGAGTGTCCCAGCCAGAGCGTCCCACAAGAGTGTCCTACAAGAGTGTCCCACAAGAGTTTCCTACAAGAGTGTCCCACAAGAGTGTCCTGCAAGTGACCCACAAGAGTGTCCCACAAGAGTGTCCTACAAGAGTGTCGTGTAAGAGTGTCCCACAAGAGTGTCCTGCAAGTGACCCACAAGAGTGTCCTACAAGAGTGACCCCCAAGAGTGTCCCGCAACAGTGTCCTACAAGAGTGTCCCAGAAGAGTGTCCCACAAGAGTGTCCTACAAGAGTGTCCCACAAGAGTGTCCTGCAAGAGTGTCCCACAAGAGTGTCCCACAAGAGTGTCCCACAAGAGTGTCCTATAAGAGTGTCCCACAAGAGTTTCCTACAAGAGTGACCCACAAGAGTGTCCTACAAGAGTGTCCCACAAGAGTGTCCCAGAAGAGTGTCCCAGAAGAGTGACCCCCAAGAGTGTCCCACAAGAGTGTCCCACAAGAGTGTCCCAGAAGAGTGTCCCGCAACAGTGTCGCTCAAGAGTGTCTCACAAGAGTGTCCCTTAAGAGTGTCCCACAAGAGTATCCCACAAGAGTGTCCTACAAGAGTGTCCCACAGGAGTTTCCTGCAAGAGTGTCCCACAAGAGTGTCCCACAAGAGTGTCCTACAAGAGTGTCGTGTAAGAGTGTCCCACAAGAGTGTCCTGCAAGTGACCCACAAGAGTGTCCTACAAGAGTGTGTCACAAAAGTGTCCCACAAGAGTGTCCTACAAGAGTGTGTCCCACAAGAGTGTCCCGCAACAGTGTCCCACTAGAGTGTCTCACAAGAGTGTCCCTTAAGAGTGTCCTACAGGAGTATCCCACAAGAGTGTCCTACAAGAGTGTCCCACAAGAGTGTCCCACAAGAGTGTCCCAGCCAGAGCGTCCCACAAGAGTGTCCTACAAGAGTGTCCCACAAGAGTTTCCTACAAGAGTGTCCCACAAGAGTGTCCTGCAAGTGACCCACAAGAGTGTCCCACAAGAGTGTC